GTGCCCCGCTGCGGGCGTCCTCAGAGGCTTTGCTCCTGGTGTCCCGGGTCGGCTGGAGACGGTCCCCAGCAGACCAGAGGCACCGGGAGCAAAGCCGGGGAGGCGGAGGGGTCCCGCGCCTCTGAGGCTTTGCTCTGGAGACGGTCTCCAGCAGACCAGGGGCACCGGAGCAGCTTACGAACGGGGCTTTCTCGCCCCGGAGCTTGCAGGTAGCAATCCGACGTAAGTCAGGGACTGCCTGTACTAATTTGGCATTACATGTTCCCAAAGTACTCTGGACAAATATTGCAAGAGATTCTGGTAGCTTTGTGTGACAGGAGGAAACAAGGAAGGGGAAAAATAACTACTAGAAACACTCACTAGGATGTCTGTTAGCAAACGATAATCCTCAATTTCTCCATTTTTCTCAGGCTGACATCTGGTAACCAGTCCTACTGCTACACCTGCCACAGCAGCTGATATTGGGACTCCTAACAGCAATACATGAAAATATTTCTATTATCCTGTCATACCACAATTTATAGCCATTTAATGAATACATTAATTTATTCTCTACATGCGTTTTACACATTGTACCTGCATCCATTAATGCCAAACTTCCACCACATACAGAAGCCATTGATGAAGATCCTACAGGGAGTCAGAGAATGGAGATGTATCTATCACAAGTTACAAGCAAAACTAACTAGTGAAGTTCTTTGGTAATTCTAAAGTTATACCCCATACAATGGATTGCACAAAGGGCTTAGAACAGTGAACTAAATCAGAAAAGTTTGTAGGCAATATGCCATTTATTAACCTTCAGTTTGTGTCTTCCCCTTTTACTTGCAACCTTCTGCTTTGCAAGTTAAAGCACTTCTCTAACAACCATAACTGAGGTTCAGAAACATGCACATACTTGTCATTTTCAGAATTTCACTAGCATTGTTAAATAGAAAACCTAGTTAATTAGCTAGAACAATTGCTAGTACAGTTGATCAAAATCAAGACACTTAAAGAAACTCATTGGGTCTTCATCAACAGGTAAAAAAAATGAAAATGAAATTTTAATACCATTTGACTCCAAGACTTCTGAAGTGACCCTTATTGTGAAAGGGAAATCTTGGGGAATAACTGGCTTCAAAGCTTTCTCTGCAAGTGCACCTGTATTTAAAGGTACAAAATACATTTTAAAAAGTTATTAAATGAAGAACTACAATAATTTTGTTTAACTACTCTAAGTCTCACTCACCATGTCCAAGTTCTCTTCTGTTCACACCAGTAACTTTGCCAATCTCATTAGTTGCATAAGGAGGAAACTAGAAAAATGTAATTTTTATATAGAAAGTAAAACAGCATGTGGTGCCCTTTCCTTCTTTGACTGCTTATTTGCCTCAAAACAAATAACAGCCAGCCACCCCCCCCCCAAAATACAAGTGTATCAAGTAAGGATGTAAAAGTGTAGTCGATTAACTGATGAGCAAAAGCTTATCAGTTAATGTTATAGACTACACGCATTTTCTCCTCCCCCACTTGCCAGTCTATTTTTTTTAGCAGGCTGGCCAGCAACCCAGCTCAGTTCTCAGATACGGCGTGAACCAGAACTCAGACCATCTCTTAGATAGGGGCTGCTGCCACCCCGCGCCACTGCCTCTTTATCAGAGGCAGCAGCACAGGGAGACAGCACATGTCCACGAGGGGAACTGGGTTTAAACTGGCTTCCACCTGGCACCCATCTCTGATACAGTGGCAGCAGCACTGAGTAGCAAGGTGAGTGAGGGCAGAGCGCACTGGCTGCTGGCCCCAACCCCAGGGACTACAGAATAGTCGACTAACTGATAAGAATTCATGAGGTTACTAGACTATTCAATTAACCGATATTTAACATCCCTAGTACCAAGAAAAATATTTATCAGTCACTTGAATAAACTTTCAGAATCATCAACTGTAAAATTCTTTGGCAACTAAAGAGATTTCATTTTATACATTTTCTATTTGGGGGATTTTTGCACCTTCCTCTGAAGTGTCTGGTACTAGACATTGTCAGAAACACAACAATGAACTAGATGGACCGCTAATCCAATTTATGTTCCAGGGCTTTACTTAGCAGGGGTAATCTGATTAACTTTACAGTGATCTAGTTTGCTGTCAATTTCACGCCATCAAACAAATGATACTGATTTTCTGAAATACAGAAACTTATTTATTATGCGTGAATTGGCAATACAGCTGTGGATTACCAGTGTTTGATGTCTTTATGATTATCTCCCCCATTCTTTGTTTGCCTTTTCTTGTCCTATCTACATGCCTCATTTCTTTCCATCTCTAGACATTAAAAAAATCCTTCCACCACCTTATTTCTTCCTTTTCTGCACACACTCTCTACTTTTAATAATAGGTGCTACAGTGAAGCAGTGAGAATTCAGCCAAAGCATTTTCTCTCTAGCACCATTACTCTTGATAGTTGACCAGAGGCACCCTGGATTCTCATTCCATTAACGCAGCTCAAAAAAAAATACAGAAGAACCTCAGAGTTATGAGCTGATCAGTCAACCATACACCTCATTTTCAACAGAAGCACACAATCAAGCAGCAGCAGACACTCCCTGCCCCCTCAAAAATACTGTACAATGCTGTGTTAACCATAAACTATTTAAAAAAATTAAGAAAAGCAATATTTTTCTTCTGCCCAGTAAAGTTTCAAAGCTGTATTAAAGAGTTGTAAACTTTTTAAAGAACAATAATTTTGTTTAGAGTTATAGACAACCTTGATTCCCATGGTGTTTGTAACGCTATGATTCTACTGTTAATGCATTTGCAATAACTGAAGACCTACGGAGGCAAGCTAACCACAAGTAAACTTGTCAAGAACTGCATGTCACATCTTTACTTTTCTGTCATACAATCACAAGCTTATTCACAACGTAATATTACCAAGAGTACTTGGAATACAAGAGATTTGGAAATTATATCTGCTTTATGAAATATTTTGAGCAAATCCCAAAAAATGAAAAAAAATGGTTATGATATAAAAGATCTTGTTTACGATTTTATTAAACTCTTAGGCATGCTCATATTTATGGAATAGGCAACAAGACATATTAAAGACAACAAAGCCATCTTACCTCATAATGCAGCATAAAGTTTTTATCTTTCACTCCACTAGAAATTAAAAATAAGGACACCATCATACAGGAGCAACTGAACGTCAGCTTTCATTTAAAGGATTAAAAAAGTGAAAACAGCTCATTATCACTTAATATACATATCTACAAACAAGGTTGTAAAGGAGAAGTGTTTCAATGAACCAACTGAACAGCAAGACCATTTTCTATTGCTTTTGCACTTATTTATTTTTCTGAATTTTAGGCTTTGGCACACAAAAATTGTGCACTTTAACTAAAATGATTATTTTATAGTTAAAGCAATATAAGCCCCCTCTAATTTGAACACAATTATATTACAAGATGCTTTTCTTGTGTAGCTGCTTACTCCTGGCGGAATTCTGCAGCAAATTCTTCAGTGGGGTGAAAAAGCATTGTCATATGGCCCGCAGGCTCTTCCTGGCAGCGGCAGCAAGGAAGAGGGACCCACAGAGGAAATGGGCTCTGTACTAAACCGTTCCTCCTTATTCCCCCCAGCTTGGGGGTGGGGAGAGAAGCGCTCACTTGCAGGCTCCATCTTTGTTGCTCCCAATTACTAGGAATTGTGGGGGCAGTGACTGCAAGCGCAGGGTGGAACACACACACACCTGTGCCCTCTTCCCCCTGAAGCTGTGCTAGATAAATTGCCCAATCCCCTCCCGCAATCTCCCCCCAGCCTGCTCTTACACCCTACCTTGTAGCCCGAACCTGCTCTCCAAGTCTGTACCCTACCAACCAGCCAGATTCTGCACTGCCACTTCCACACACTGCACCTCTCATTTTTTTTGTCCCACTACAGAGCCTATGAGACACCACAAAATTTACTAGCCCCAGCTCTCCAGAAGAGTTAATCCAGCCATCAGGGGATCCGATCCCTAAGCTTGAGTGCCCTTCCATGAGGTTGAAGTGTAAGAAGAGTGTTTCTCTTTTTCTGCTTCTCAACTGCAGGCCACATGTATGGTGGTTTTGGAGGGGCATGTAAGACAGCTTCTCGCTTCTGTGTAGCCCCCAATTGATTCTTCTGTAGGTCAATGGCCCCCAACCAAAAAAGCTTCCCCAATTAATGCACAGCATATTAGTACACTTCAGAAATCATACCCCATAGTCAGTGTTCCCTCTAAGGTGCGTGCCTGTGCAGCCGCGCACAAAAAATTCTAAGCCCAGCCACCTTCTTCCCAGAGCCACGCAGTAGCACTCAACTTCCTGCTGGATCTGGAAGGTGAGGTGGCGTGCCTACTCCCAGAGCTCGGGCTGCATGGCAGGCAGAGCTGGGTGGCTGCTATTCTGGTGGCTGGGGCTGTGTTGGGGGACAGTTGTTCTAGCTGCCGCCGGGGTTTGGGGCCACATGGTGGGCAGGTAGTTGCCACAGAGGTTTGGGACTGTGGGTGAGTGGAAGGCTGTTGCCGAGGTTTGGAGCTGCAGAAGGTCAGGTTGCTGCCGCCAAGGTTTGTGGCCGCAGGTGAGTGGAGTGCTGCCTGGGGGCTGAGGCAGCAGCTGCGTAGTGGGCAGGCAGCTGCTCCAGGGCCAGCTCTGTGGCTCAAACACTGGGGTGGAGGTGGGGGTAGAAAAGACAGAATCAGGTAAAAAGAGAGCAAAATCAGCATTTCTTGTCTTGAGTAGGAATGATTCTGCACTCATATTGCTGTAAATCAGCAATAGTGATAAAACAAGTATGCGAATAAATGTTTACACTTCTTTTAAAAGAAGAACAGATGAACACAAAACAGCATTTTGGGAGCTGTTATACTTCAGGATATTAAGAATGGAATCACTCGGTTTTGAACTGTCCTTGAAGACTAAAACATAGGGTTTTTACAGCTATTGGTGGTACGCTTAACATACTTGATATTAGACTTCATTGTCCCATAGTTGTATTGAAATAAAAGAATCTTTAGATGCACAGTAATAAATAGTTCTCCCCAGGTGATTTATCTGGCTAGGATACTGTAGTACTGACTTTAACTATACACTGAAGACACTTGTCTAAATATCAAGCATGAATTGGCCCAATGATAGCTCAGGTACATGTGATTCTGTTATTGTCAGCATATGCGCACAGGGTTCTGAAAAGCTGCAATTTTCAGGCTATTGCAGCTGAGTGGTCTGCCAGCTGCTTGGCTATGTCTATACTGACAACTGAATGACAAAGCTCATGTCCTTCACAGGTGTTACCCCTTGCCTCCCAAGACAAAAGTTTTGCGGTGGCAAGTACCAGTGTGAGCAGTATGTGGTGCACAGGAGCACTCTCCTGAAGACAACGTGAATGCCATTCGTTGGGGGTGGAAGTATTTTATCAGCAAAAGAGCTGAAAAACAGCTTCACTGCCCGACTTTTAGTGGCATGCATGCATTGCCACTGATCCCAGGAGCTAGTGCTTTGTCAGGCCTGTCTAGGAGAGAGGGAGGGCAAAGAGGGCAATTTTCCTGGGACACTGGGTGTGTCTAGACTGTACCTGTAACCTGAAATGAGCTATGCAATTTGTGTAGCTTATTTCAAGCGTATTTCCAAATAGCTTATTTTGAAATTTGATGCTATCTACACAGCGCTAGATTTCGAAATAGAGCACTACTCCAAAATGTCCCTTAATCTTCGTGGAACGAGGTTTACGGGCACGTCAGAATAGCACACCCGTTATTTTGAAAGATACTGCAAAATAATGGGCATGCTGTCAAGACGTGGAATACGCTACTTTTGGATACTGGAAGTATCCTGAAATAGCACCACAGTGTAAACATACCCTCATGACTCTAAAGGGCCTGGGGCTCTGGCCGCTGCAGTGTGCTTACCTTTGCCTCCTATGGAACTGTGGACAGTACAGATTTAGAGCAGCCTTGAGGCTAATCTAACTTACTGAAAACTTTGCAGTATGTTCTTATTAAATAAACATTTAAAGTCATGCACCTTGTTAGTTATCCCTAGTTTTAGTATTCTTTTTTCCATAACATTTTAATTATATAAATTAATAACTTGGGTGCCATGGTGGCACACATCTGAACAAGCTCACATGACCTCAATCTTGGTTGCACAAACAAAATTCACTACTTCATGGATGGAAAATCTTAGAGGAAACACTGTCAATAGTGTGTATTACCCGACTGTGTAGACCAGCTTTCAGTTCACTTCAATGAATAGGGTTCCCAACCCACAAGGACTGTCCTGGAATCTCCATAAATTAAAGATTAATCTTTAATCAAAGATGTCATCTGATGTAACCTCCAACCCAAACTAGCAATGCTATCAGTGAGATAATTAAAAGTGAAGTATGACCAACTTCTCAACCAGCTAGAAACAATTTTTTTCTGACAAATGAGGGTCTTTGGAATAGATTACTTCAAGTGAGAAATAATATCACTTATCTGACAATTTTACTTATTCCGGGTGAATCAAAACTACATCTGACTTGGTAGGGTCATCTAAAAATTACTGGAGAAGTAATTGCCAACATGGGACAAATAGAATGCTCCACGTGTTACATGTACTGACTCCACAGCACAAATCTATAAAGAACATACATTAAAAAAGTAAAATGCGTACAAGAAACCCCCAAGTTGTGACCTCCTGCACTTACAATTATTTTTTAAAGTGTGGAAAGGGCCAAAACCCCATGACGTATGACCCTGGCCTGCATTTACGACGGTGCCTATAGTAAATAAGGGTTTGAGTTACAATGCCCCCAACTTGGGACGCTTCCCTGGGGACCAATCGCGTCACAAGTTGGGGGTTGCCTGTACACTATTTTCATTGTTATATTATTTAATATACTTGGAAAACATACTTGGAAAAAATTATAAGACTGACTTTAAAAATGACATAATTTGGCAAATTTATGTAGAGTTTTTACACATTTAGGAATCTTTTAATCAGTCTCATTATTTCAAACAGTGAATATTTTCTTGTATTTTTTGATGTATTGTTTGTAACTACTTAGCAACTACAATTATAAATTTCAGGCAATTCCAAAGAGCTACTGGTCATTTGGCACTTTTGAAAATCAAGCCATTTATTTAGAAACCTTATTTTAGATATCCATTTTTAAAAATCTTGATGAATATATATTAAGTTCCAGAAATGTTTATCAGCTATTGAAATTGCTCATTCCCCTTTATTATAAATGCAACAAAGCAACAGAAGGTAAGAGGGCACATACCTCACAGCTGTTGAAATAAGATCAGATTTTACACTTGATTCTAATGAATCAAATGTTACTGTACAGAGAACCTAGAATAAAAAGAAGGGAAAATTAAAACCTCACACAGTTTATGATCATATAAGACTATTTATATTGGGCACAAAGATTTACAGAGAGTTGATTCAGAAACTTCCTGATTGTCAGACATCAATTCTCAGTATCCTTCTTTACAATGCAAATGTCAATAGAATCAGAACTCAATCCTGTCAACGTCCACCGGTCTGTAAGGAAACAGATTGATTCCTGGCTCCCTCCCTCTGGTGTGGAAGGAGCATGGACTACAACAGAAGCAGCCTCGTCACCTTACAGAGATGGGAATTATTTCCGTTAATGACTCCCCTATTAATCAGTTAAAGAGCTAGACCGATGAGACTCAATTGTTCCCCAGGAGAAAGATAGTGGTGAAACACAGGTCTAATAAGAGGTCTCGGAGCAAAAACTCAACAGGGAGATCCTCTATCCTTTTCTCTCTCTCCCCTCCTACCTGCCTGAATTTTGATATAAAAAGTAACTGAATATATAATTTTATTTTTAAAAGATTTACAGAAAACTGTTTGGCAATCTCCTAGATGATAGTAGTTAAAATAGAATTCTCCAATTTACTTGAAGTCAACCTAATCATAGAACGAAACAACCAACATAGAGAGCTTTCTTTTTTTGTATGTCAATAGTTTCAATGTAAAAAACCTCACACAGTTTCTTTTTATAAGCAATGCAGAGTTCCAAATAAGTACTTATGTATTTATTAGTCAACAGTGTGGCCTTGTAGCCAAGAAGGCTAATGGCATATTGGGGGGCACTAGGAGGAGCGATTATTCCCCTTTATTTGGCACTGGTGAGGTCACATCTAGAGTACTGCGGACAATTCTGGGCCCCCACTACAGAAAGGATGTGGACGCATTGGAGAGGGTCCAGCGGAGGGCAACTAAAATGATTAGGGGGCTGGAGCACATGACCTACAAGGAGAGACTGAAGGATCTGGGCTTATTTAGTCTGCAGAAGAGATGTAAGAGGGGGATTGGATAGCAGCCTTCAACTTCCTGAAGGGAGGTTCCAAAGAGGATGGAGAAAGGCTGTTCTCACTAATGACGGATGTCAGAAAAAGGAGCAATGGTCTCAAGTTACAGCGGGGGAGGTCTAGGTTAGATATTAGGAAAAACTATTTCACTAGGAGGGTGGTGAAGCACTGGAATGGGTTACCTAGGGAGGTGGTGGAATCTCCATCCCTAGAGGTTTTTATGTCTCGCCTTGACAAAGCCCTAGCTGGGATGATCTAGTTGGGATTGGTCCTGCTTTGGGCAGGGGGCTAGACTCAATAACCTCCTGAGATCTCTTCCAGCCCTATGATTCTATGATTCTATGCAAGTAATAAGCAGTTTTACTGTGCACCACTCTTGATTAAAAGTAACTTCATAAAGAAAGTAAAGTAAAACCTATTAAATGGAATTATAGATAAATATATCTAGAGGCCTAATTTTTGGTTGCTGGCCCTTCAGGAATTTTAAAAGTACTGAAAGTGGATATGCGATTCTGATTAATGGAACAATTCTAGGCAATTATGTTTTGTAATGTTATTTTGAAGTTTCCACTTCTACACAACAGAGTTTAGTTTTGTACACTGTTGCTTCTCATGGGAGCCAGGCAATATTAAGCTGAACCTGAATAGCACACAATGTATTTATAATTCTTACATTCAAAAGTATTTAAGGTGTTTTCAATAATTACTTGATTGAGAAATAACAAACTTCATGGTTAACAGAAACTTTCAGCTTTGACAGCTACAACTCTGACATCTGATGTTTGAAAAGTATTACCTGTGTTTGACCTCTCTGAAACAATGCTGATCCATGAAGCATTTTAAACATATCCACTTCACAATTGATATTCCTGAGAGAAGTTAAGTCTCTACCATCACACCTATAGCAATAAAATATGAACTATAAAGTCACGAAAATCATAATTATGGAAAAACACTTGCAAAGAGCTTATTTAAAAAGATTTTGTGCATTTACCTTCTGTATTCATTCAGAATAAAGTTTCTAAAAATGTCCTTTGAAACAACATTAAAGGATTCAATAATTTCGTAAGACTCAGCCTCTGGAAATTTCTCTAGAAACACCAAACACTAATTAGAATTCCAATCTTCCAACGTTGGAAAACAAATTCCAGAAGAGTTATTAACTAACAAACATTGTGGCCAGCATTAAGTACAACAAAACCCCACTGTACTGCCATAAATGTTATTCACAATTGGGAGCACTCTCCAAACAGTTAGAAATTGTGTATTTCACAGAAGTGACTCCAGATGTATTAGAAGATCTTAACACATAAAGCAGCAATACTCTCAGCTACAGAAGTGGGTGCTCCACTACTTTCACTCTATGGCTATGCTTGCAATTGATTGACAAAACTTTGTTGTTTATGGGTGCTTCCCCTACCCAGAACAACAAAAATTTTGCCATAGTAGAGTGAAAGTGTGAACTCTACTTTGTTGGCAGGACCGCTATCTAGTACTTCTAGACCATGACAAAGTGAAAACGGCTTATGGGGCAATTAGTATTTTGTTGCAAAAGTGCCAACAAACAACTTTCACATATGCCGGCTTTTAGCAACATAGTCTTGTTGCTATAAGCTGCATTGTATAGACGGTTCGCAACCTTTTCCAGGTTGGGACCCATTTTGACAATTCAGTAAGACTTGGTGACTTAAGGCAATTCAAAAATGGGGGAAGGAGGGAGGGCAGAGCCACCTGGGGAGACACTTGGCGACCCATTTAAAATGTAATGGTGACCCATATTTGGGCCCCGACTCATACGTTGGGAAACCATGGTATAGACATACTCTTAACTAGTAGTACCAAGGGCTAACAATAAACATCCAAGACCTCAAACAGGCATTCCGGCAAAACCAAAGAATGCCAGAATAGAAATATATTATTTCTAAGTTACAAGCAGAAAAAAAAAAATCTATATCTATATATAAAAGGAAAACATGTCCAGGCCCACTTTATGCAACATAAAAAAGGGTATAACACCAATCTTAAAAAAAAAAAAAATCACATCCTTTGCAAGCCACTATAAACAGCAACCTTTCTTTTGAAAAATGTTAAAGTACTATATTATGGTAGTGAATTCTGGCTCCAGGATCAGTGCCCAATTTTATTAAAATTGTATAAATATTACACAAATTAGTACAATACCTTTCAACAGTTCTTCCGTTTCAAGCCTTATTTTGTTCACTGCTTCATCTCTAGAAATCTGAATAAGATTTACATCCGTTACCACTACTTGTGCAGACTAACAATAAAGCAACTTTTTTTTAAGATTCTGCCCAGCTGTTTAACAAAGAGATAATCATGGAACTCTAAGCATAAGAATCATTACATACTGAAAACAATCTCCAAGAGAATAGCTTCTAATAGCTTATTTATACTATTGCACTATAATTGTATCCACATTGGTCCCAAAATACTACAAAGGTTGGTGACATAATATGTTATTGGACCAACTTCTGTTGTTGAGAGAGACAAGCTTTAAAGCCTGAAAAAGAGCTGTTTGGCTGGAAAGCCTGTCTTTCACCAGTAGGTGGTCAAATAAAATATATTAAATATCATCCATCTTGTCCCTCTTATAGTATTGCATACATCTTTCAGAGTAGCAGGAAATATAGTCTAATGTTAGTGGCTCCTGAAAGAAAGATCATGGAGATAGTAGTACAACTAAATCTAAACATGGACTAATTCAGAGAACTGATTAAATTATGACATTAAAACACAAATTATGATGGCCACACTTACTTTGTCATGGGTAAAATCTGCAAACACTGCACAGACCTTGTCAGAGGCAAATCTTTTGGAAGAGAAAAAAGTAATGAATAACCTGAAAGTATTTGTTTACCTGTACACAGTTTGAACAAGTCTCCAATATAAATGCATTTAGTAAAAAAAGGTGACAAAAGGCTACTAGCTTATCTGAGTTTTAAATACATCTCTATTTTATATTAGTACAGGCAGTCCCCGACTTAGGCGGATCCGACTTATGTTGGATCTGCACTTACGAACGGGGCTCTCTTGCCCCGGAGCTCACAGGCAGCGGTCAGCCACCTTGACCTCCGGGGCGAGAAAAGCTGCTCCCGGTGCCCCTGGTCTGCTGGGGACCGTCTCCAGCAGACCAGAGGCATCGGGAGCAAAGCAGCAGCCCCGGCGGGTTTGCTCGCGGTGCCCCTGGTCTGCTGGGGACCGTCTCCAGCAGACCAGGGGCACCGGGAGCAAAGCGGGTCCCGCGCCAGAGCAAAGCCTCACAGGCGAGACACCCCGCCGCTGCGGCTTTGCTCCCCGTGTCCCCGGCCCGCT